GCTCACAATGTCATGAAACTAGCCCGAACGTAATGATGCGATGTACCAATAAATAACAACAGAGACTGAGATGTGATATGAAATGAATGAATATGTCTGTGTACGAATTATCAATGAAATCAGTAAGTCAACTGCAAGAAACGACCACTATGGGTCCCAACAGTGCCAGTGTATAGCCTAAACATGATCTCTAGCATTATTGTAAGCTTAATTACTTTATCACATGATGAAAACACGAATATCAATAAGATAGAACCACTATACAGTGCCATGAAATCGACTAGGTCACAATTTTTATGGTGCACGCCCGCACGCCCATCACTTGGAATGTGAGTCACCTCAACACCAATCACATAACACATATTCGGGGTTTCGAACCCTCATAGCCAAGTTTAGATGTGATACTTACCTCAAAAAACTCTACTCCCTCACACCTTTGCCTCGCAAATCAGCCTCCAATTGTCCCAAATCCAGCCACAAACAGTACATACAATCAATACATGCTAACGGAATCAAATCCACAAGGAAATATGAATCTATTAATCAAAAAATCAGAAATCGGCTGAAAATCGGCCCCCGGGCCCACGTCTCAAAATCCAACAACCACGAGTCTAACCATACCAAGTTTATCAAAATTCGGCACCCAATTGCCACTCATATCCTCGAATCAAACTCTCTAGATCCCTAGCCTCAAACCTCCAAATTTCACATTAAAACCACACAATCTAGGTGAAAAAATCAATGGGGAAACAAGATTATTGAATAAAATGAGCACAAGGAACTTACCTCAAGAATCCCCTCGAAAATCCTCTCAAAAATCTCAAAAACCCGAACCCAAAATGTTAGAAATGAAGAAAATCTCAGGATGCTCGTATATATAAGTTCTGCCCAGCAATATCGCTTATGCGGCTCACTTAACTACTTTTGCGGCCTCACGGGAGTGACTCAAAGCCCGCATCTGCGGCTATCTACGCACCTGCGCCTAAACTTCTGCTCTTGTGGACTCGCTTCTGCGGAGCCCAGCTCCATAGCCCAATTCCGCTTCTACAGTCTTCCTACCGCATCCGCGGTTCCCACTCCGCAGGTGCGATTACACCAGCAGCACCCAAACTTCAGCAGCTTCACTAAGTTCAATTCCAAGTTTGTTGACCACCCGAAATAACCCCGAGTCCCTCGGCAACTCAACCAAACATACCAACAAGTCTTAAAACCTCCTGCGAACTTAGTCGATCCTTCAAATCACCTCAAACAACATCAAAAAAATACGAACCGCACCCCAATTCAAGCCTAATGAACTTTGAAATTCCAAATTTCTAAAAACGATACCGAAACCTATCAAATACATCAGATTGACCTCAAATTTTGCACACAAGTCACAAATGACACCACGTTCCTACTCCAACTTCCTGAATCCCAATCCAACCCTGATATCAAAAACTCCACTCCCGGTCAAACTTTCCAAAAATCCAACTTCTGCAATTTCAAGCCTAATTCAACTACGAACCTCCAAATCACAAGTTGAACATGCTCCTAAGTCCAAAATCATGCAACGGAGTTAACGGAATCATCAAAACTCCATTTAGGAGTCGTTTACTCATAAGTCAACATCCGGTCAACTTTTCCAACTTAAGCTTTCAATTAAGAGACGAAGTGTCTCAATTCATTCTGAAATCCTTCCGGACCCAAACCAACTAACCCAGTAAGTCATATAACAACTATAAAGCAAAAAATGGGCAGTATACGGGGGAACGGGGCTACAATTCTCAAAATGACTGGCCGGATCGTTATACAATTGAAACTTTTAGATTGTTAAAGAATTAATTTTTATTTAGATTTGAAGGAGACTTATGTTGCACCATTTTTTAGATGGAATTTGATTTCTATTTTTTGTATTGGACAAGCTTGGTAATTTTTTTCATTTGAAAATGAAAAAGTTAGTCTCTTTTGTAATTCAAATTTGGTTGGTTCTGGTTCTTTAATAGGTTACTATATTTACTTGATATGATTGCTTAGTTTAAATGAGTTCTTGCATGTTAATAAAACTTGTAATAAACGCAAATAAATCAGCCAGAAGTCAGCTTTTTGTGGCACAAGAGATTAGGAAATATCTCCAAAAGAGAATTAAGAGACTTGTGTCCAATAATATATTCGATCCCCCATGACTTTTTAGATTTTCTGATCCTACTACTAAGGCTATTTTGATGAATTAGGCGATGTTCCTAGAGGATGTTGAGTTTACGGGGATAGAGGGAGAGTTATGCACTTTGTCTTTGAAGAGGAACATATTGATACTATTCCACTAATTGCTATCGACTATGCTTAGGGATAACTTCTGATGCCTAAAATTTATAAAGAAGTAAATCCAGATCAATACAATGACATTCAACCTTCCGTTTGAGAAATTATTCCCTAAGAACAACCTCTACGACCTCAAGAACTAATGTTATTAAAGAAATTATGCATTTGAATATTTGCATATAATTTTAGAATTTTGAGGAGATATTGTAATAGCTTAGAAATTTGTTGATGATAGGCTATAATTGCGCATTTTAGCCGCTTATTACGCTCTAATTTACTGCACTTTAATTGAGTTTGAGCTTTAATCGCTAGTGTTTTGCACTAAATATGTGTTTTATGCCTTGTAGGACTAATTCCGATCTATGTAGGCGTTATGAAATGAATTCAAGTGATTTGGAGCTTTGAAGTCTGAGTAAAAGCCCAAGGAATTAAGCCGGGATCGTGTTTGGGGATCAATGGATGACAGTTAAGAACGAGACGAAGAATCGAGTGGGCATACGGTGCATTCTCTAGTAAAATGCACATAACTTTTCGCTTAGAACTCTTTTTGGGCTCCACAATATATCGCCGAAAAGCTATTTGAAAGGGCGACAACTTTCATGTTTTGCATTTTCGCAAATTCTCACTACCGCACCACCCAGTGAGGCGCAGCGTACGCCGTGCCTTTGGAATTATCCTGCAGTCTGTCAGAATCAACTCTCTGAACTTCCCCACAAGCACACCGCACAGTGCGGCGCAAGGTGCGAGCGCCTGTACAAATTTTACAGAGTCAGAGTCCTATTTCGCGCAGGAAAGGGTGTTTCGTCTGGGTCCAACCCTACTTGATACAAATACATATAAAACGCTATTTTGAGGACTTTTGAGACACTTTTGACCTAGGAAGAGCACAAAGCCGCCGTGGAGGCCGGGTTTCATCTTTTCTCCTACCAAACTTACTAACTTTTGTGTTTCTTTGTATGATTTATTGTTTTGCTACCATGTCTCTGTGGAGCTAAGCTTCACGTTCTAGGGTTGTGGTTCTTTCATGACTATTGTTATTCGAATATTGATTTTGATTTCTTGATTTATCGTATTAGTTTATTTATTCAATCCTGCACTTAATTATTTAATTGTTTTATCACCAATTGAATACTATCTACGAATCTAGAATTGAACTCGAAAGTGGGAATTCTAGATTGCATATAGGATTGAGTGGAGCATGTTCTTGAACCTGGGCATCGGGGAACGGATTCGCGGTTAGGATAGACATATACCTAATTGCCTTGCTTGGTTGATTTACAGGAATTATAAATGCGTTCTTGTTAGTTCTAATTCCATAGACATATAGGCGTTAGGTTAGCTTGAATAGGCGAGTAAGAACTCGACAGGTTCTTATGAGCAATATTAACCCTGTCAACCAATAAACCAGATAAATTAGTTAGTCAATTCAATTGAAGAATACAATAGGAATGTTAGATAGCCCATAACCCTAGATCGTTTTCATCATATTGATAACATAAAAATCTACTCTTCCTCTGTTCAAAGTTCATTATTTGTTTTTATTTATTTTAATTAGTTTAGAAACAAATACTTCTAGTCTTAATTCTAGTTTAGATAGTTAGGATAGTCTAATTTAGTTAATAGTTAATCACAAGTCCTCGTGGGTTCGACATCCGACTTCTAGTCACTTTATTACTTGACAACCGCGTATACTTGCGTGTGCGTTTGGAAGCAACAAGTTTTTGGCGTCGTTGCCGGGGACTTAGAAATTAGCTACTTGACTGAATTGAGCTTTTATTAGTTATTTATTCAAGTTTTAATTTTCTGTTTACCTTGTTTGTGTTAACACAGGCTCCTCTCTCGAATGCGAAGGAGTAGAAGCGCAAACAATCTCCTTCCTCTTGATCCTGAAATTGAACGAACACTTCACAGAGTGGGAGGGAAGTCGAAGCTAAAACTAGAATAGAAGGAGAGTTGGAGACCGTAGTTCAACCACAGCCAATAGAGATGGCAGGTAATGAAGAGGATGCGGTGATTGAAGCCGCAAGGCCAATCTTGCTAATATAACTCAGGCTATTGTGAAGCCTAAGATCATAGGGCATTTTGAACTCAAACAGTACATGGTGCAGCTGATTCAGTCCACAGGGCAATATGTGGGCCTATCTCATGAAGACCCGCAGAGGCACATTCAGAATTTCTTGGAAATTACGAATACTTACAATTATCCAAACGTTTCCAAGGACTATGTTACGCTGACACTATTTCCCTTTTCACTGTTGGGGGAAGCTAAGGAATGGTTGCAAAAGGAGCCCGCAAACTCGATCCACACTTAGGATAATCTAGCAAGGAAATTCTTAATTAAGTTTTTCCCCACTAAGAAGACAAAGTCATTGAGGAGTCAGATTCTTGAGTTCGAACAACAGGATGGCGAGGCACTTCGTCAAGCTTGGGAAAGATACAAGAAGCTAATCAGAGACTGCCCACATCATTGTCATACTGATGAGGTATTGGGTCACACTTTTGTTGACGGGCTAGATGATGCATCAAAGATGAATCTTGATTCAGCTTGTGGAGGTAGTTGCATGGCGAGATCGTACAGTGAAGTCCAACTCTTGCTAAATAATTTCACTGCTAATGATCATAATTGGCAAAGAGATGGGGATTCACAAAGGGCAATTAAACAGAAAGCAACCGGGTTGATTGAGCTTGATGACTTCTAAGTCATGAGGGCCGATATAGCAAAATTGGCAAATCAGATGAATAGAATGACAATGCAACAAACACAACAGATGCAACCTGTACAACAGATGTCTATTTGCTGCGAACTATATGGTAATTGTCATATGAGTGACATGTGCCCCACGAATCCTAAATCCATATACTATGTGGGGCAACAGAGCAGAGGTCCAATAAATCAGCATGCACAATATGGGAACACGTACAATCCAAATTGGAACAATCATCCCAACTTCTCAAGGGGTGGAAATCAGCCGAATCAAAATCATTATAGACCCCAAGGAAATTTCAATCAACCTCAGAAGCCACCCAACAAATGGAAGAGAGTACGAATGACTTGCTAATGAAGTTGTTGCTTGACAATCAACAGCTCAGGACCGATTTCAGAAATCTTGAGAGGCAAATGGGGCGGTTAGCAGCAAATCAAAATACTAGACCTGCAGGCGCTCTCCCCGGTGATACAGAGAAGAACCCTCAAGTTAATGCAGTTACACTTAGAAATGGAAGGGAACTAGAGGAAGTGCCAAAAAAAGAGAAAAGACAAGCCAATACCTGAGGGGGAGTTGATTCCTAAGGCAACACATGAGTCCAAGAAAGATGAAGCAAGTTTAGAACCAGTGGAGACTGCAAGGCCACCACCACCTTTCCCCCAGAGATTGTAGAAAAAGAAGGATGATCACATGTTCAGCAAATTTCTCTCTATGTTGAGCCAGATTCAATTGAATATTCCATTGGTGGATTTGCTTCGTGAAATTCCAAAGTATGCTAAGTACATAAAAGATATAGTGGCTCAGAAGAGGAGATTGACTGAGTTCGAGACAGTTGCACTTACTGAGGAGTGCACATCAAGGGTCCAAAACAAGCTTCCTCAAAAGCTCAAGGATCCTAGCAGCTTCACTATCCCTGTGCAAATTGGTAATATTGATGTGGGTCGTGCACTTTGTGATTTGGGGGCAAGCATAAATCTGATGCCCTTGTCCTTGTTCAAGCAATTAGGTATGGGAGCTCCAAGACCAACTATTGTGATGTTGCAGCTAGCTGACAGGTCCATAGCACACCCTGAGGGGGTGATTGAAGATGTGTTGCTGCAAATTGGGAAATTCATCATCTCTGTGGACTTCATTATCCTAGATTATGAGGCTAATGAACTGGTTCCAATCATATTGGGACGACCTCTCTTGGCTACTGGTGATGCAATTATTAAAGTGAGAGAGGGAAAAATAATTTTGAGGGTGGATGACGAGGAAGCAGTCTTTAATGTCTACAAAGCAATTCAACTTCCCCGCCACTATGAGGAGCTCTCGATGATATCTGTTGTGGGGGTGGATTAGCAACTTCTTGACACGAGTGTATATCTAGACGGTTCTCTAGAGAAAGCACTTATGTTGTCCGATAGCTTGGAGAATGATGATGAGGTTGAGGAGATGATGCATATCCTTGATGCATCCTGTGCTTACATGCAGAGGATACACCCTTTTGAGCCCCTGAATAGGCCGAGTAGGCCTCCTCCAAAGCTGTCAATTGAGAAAGCTCCATAATTGGAGCTCAAACCCCTGCCCCCTCACCTTCAATATGCTTATTTGGGCAGTTCTGACACTTTACATATTATTGTTTCTTCTGACTTGTCTAAATTGTAGGAAGAAAAGCTATTAAGAGTGCTACGTGAACACAAGCGAGCAATTGGGTGGACGATGTTTGACATTAAAGGCATTAGTCTAGCTTTTTGCATGCATAAAATCCTCATGGAGAATGGACACAAGCCAAGTGTAGAGCAACAACGCCGACTAAATCCAATCATGAAAGAGGTGGTAAGAAAAGAAGTGATTAAGTGGCTTGATGCAGGTATTGTATTTCCAATCTCTGATAGCAAATGGGTAAGCCCCATCCAATGTGTACCTATAAAAGGGGGGATGACTGTAGTGGTTAATGAAAATAATGACATGATTCCTACAAGAACTGTCACTGGGTGGAGAATTTGCATAGATTATAGAAAATTGAAAAATGCCACCTGCAAGGACCATTTTCCCCTCCCCTTTATTGACCAAATGCTTGATTGATTAGCTGGCCAGGAATACTATTGTTTCTTAGATGGTTACTCGGCATATAATCAGATTGCTATAGCCCCAAAGGACCAAGAGATAACCACATTTACGTTTCCCTATGGCACGTATGCATTCAAGAGAATGCCCTTTGGTCTCTGTAATGCACCTGCGACTTTTCAAAGGTGCATGATGATTATTTTACTGAAATGGTTGAAATATTTGTGGAAGTGTTCATGGAAGATTTTTCTGTGTTTGGATGTTCTTTTGATAATTGCTTAATGAATCTTGATAAAGTGCTTGCTAGGTGTGAAGAGAGGAACTTGGTACTAAACTGGGAAAAGTGCCATTTCATGGTACGTGAAGGTATAGTCTATGGGGCATAAAGTGTCCAAAAGCGGTTTGCAGGTGGACAAAGTGAAGGTGGAGGCGATTGAAAAATTGCCCCCACCAAAGTCAGTCAAATGCATTCGCAGTTTCTTGGGCCATGCAGGTTTTTATCGTCGTTTCATTAAATATTTTCGAAAATTTATTCTCCTTTGTGCAGGCTTCTTGAGAAAGATGTCTCTTTCAAGTTTGATGATGCCTGTCTGAAAGCATTTGAGGAGCTGAAGGGAAGGTTAGTGACTGCACCAATTGTCATTGCTCTGGATTGGGAACAACCATTTGAGTTGTTGTGCGAGGCGAGTGACATAGCTATCGGAGTTGTTTTGGGGCAAAGGAGAAATAAAATCTTTCACTCTATTTACTATGCGTGCAAAACTCTGAATTCGGCCCAGATGAACTACACAGTTACTGAAAAAGAGTTGCTTGCAGTGGTGTGGGCGTTTGACAAATACAGATCTTATCTAGTGGGGACCAAAGTCATCGTCTACACTGATCATTCAGCTATCAGATACTTGTTTGAAAAGAAAGACGCCAAGCCGAGGCTGGTTCGTTGGGTCCTCCTCTTGCAAGAGTTTGACTTAAAGATCCGAGATCGAAAAGGGACAGAGAATCAAGTGGCTGATCACTTGTCCAGATTAGAAAATCGAAGCCATGTAGCTGAAGGGGGGTCAATCAAAGAAACATTTGCTGATGAGCAGTTATTGGCAATCACCTCAAAGGAAGCCCCGTGGTATGCAGATTATGTGAATTTTATTGCAAGTGGGGTGACACCACCAGAATTCACACCCGATAATAGAAGAAGGCTCCTACATGATGTGAGGCTCTACATCTAGGATGATCCATTCTTATATAGGCTATGCGCAGATCAGTTGCTGCGAAGATGTGTCCCTGAGGAAGAGATGAATGCAATACTGCTGACTGTCATGCTTCGCTGTCGCGACCCCCGTTCACCCTCCATGAACATGTCGTGATGGCACCTAGTTCCTACAACTAGGTAAGCCTAACAGTGCGGAAATAACAATTTAACTTGAGGAATAATCAACTAAAAATGAACATATGAAAAATAACAACTGAATATAAGGCCGCCAGGCCTATACAACTCTAAAGATATGCGGAAGTCTACAACTCAATCCCAAAACCCGGAAACTCACGGGAAACACAGGCTAATAGAATTACCATAAGTACATCTCCTGAATATCTACATCAAAAGTATGATAGGATAACAGCTCTACAACTAGAATAAGGAAGAAGACTCTTCGGTCTGCGGACGCTGCAGATATACCTCGAAGTCTCCGTGTGTCCCCTCGCCTCAAGGATAGTGCGCCAGAGAAGAGGTACCTGGATCTGCACATGAAAAACATGCGCAGGAAGGGCATGAGTACACCACAGCGGTACTCAGTAAGTGTCAAGCCTAACCTCGGTTGGGTAGTGACGAGGAAGGTCAGGGCCCTACTGAGGTAAAATATAATATTAACTAACAGTATGAAAATCTGACAGAAATAATAAGTACAGCAGTGGGATAAGACAGGCTAACGAAATAATAACAACTACACAAAGAACGAAATGAACACAGAATGACTACAGCTCAATACCAAGAATAACAATGAGGGTCTCCCAGGATACCGTCCTGCAGCCCTTTTTCTCAACTGTCCAGTGGATCTCCCGGAATACCGTCCCGTAGTCCAACTCATGTGCCAAACCGAAAGATCTTCCAGGATACCGTCCCGTAGTCCAACTCATGTGCCAAACCGAAGGTTCTTCCAGGATACCATCCCGTAGTCCAACCATCAATATGCAGGGGGGGATCTATCGGGAATCTAACCCGCAGTCCCAAAGTAAAAGTGCAGGGGGATCTACCAGGAATCGAACCCGTAGTCCCAAAATAAACAAACAGGGGGGGTGCTACCGGAATCCCACATCCGTAGTCCCAATATAAATGCGCAACCACAGCCAGAAATATACCACGGAATGAAGTATGAAATACAACACAGATAGAACTAGCCTAGCATGCTTCACGTAGAAACGTCAAAATGACTCAAGCAATTAGGCAATCAAGTCAACTAAACATGATTTTCCTAATCTAGCACAAGTTATAATTTCAACTAGAATAAGGCAAGTAAGAAAGAAACCAAAACTCAATGACTTAAGTAAAACCGAATTTTCCATCAATCGGCTCAAGTACGCGCCCGTCACCTCACGTACAAGGCACTCAAATATCAAGTAACAATCCTAAGGGGTAAAGTCCCCCACACAAGGTTAGACAAGCCACTTACCTCGAATCGGCACCAAAATCAACTCGAAATCACACTTTTGCCACGAGTATCCGACTCTGAATGGCCCAAATCTATTCAATTCAATTACATATCGTAAGTATTATTGCAAACAACTGATTCCACTATTAAATTTAAAGCTAAGGCGCGAAAATAGGTAAAATGACCAAAATGCCCCTCAGGCCAACGTCTCGGAATCGAATAATTTTCACATTTTCAGAACCCTCGTACTCTCACGAGTCTAACCATATCGGAGGTCAAATGCCCACTCAAAATCCAAAAGTTGGGTCTAAGAAGTTTTCCCCAAACTATCCAATTTTTGATCCTAAATTCGAATTCTAATGATGGATTTAACTAGATATTGATGGGATACAACTAAATAGGATTAAGAAAACGTTACCCAATGATCTTCTCTTAAAACCCTCCAAGAATCGCCCTCTCCCGAGCTCTCAATTGATTTTTCTATCTTTTGAACTCAACCCTCGAATTTCTTATTTCTGAATAGGGATTACCGCTTCTGCGGCCAAGGGACCGCTTCTGCGGTCCCGATTATGCGGAATCCAAGCCGCTTCTGCGGTATCTTTAAAAATCCGACCTTCCATTTCTGCGGTTCCCGTCTCGCAGAAGCGGGCCCGCTTCTGCGAAAATCCTGCCGCTTCTGCGGTTCCTGAGGAGGATGCCCCTACTCGCTTCTGTGGTGACCAAGGCCGCTTTTGCGGCTCCGTTCCTATGGTTCTCAAGCCGCAGAAGCGAAAAGATACCAGAAGCAGCAGAACTGCTACCTCTCAACTTCTAAAATTCTTCCGTCGCTCATCCGAAACCATCCCGAGGCCCCCGAGACCTCAACCAAAAACACCAATACCACCTAATACCTTATTCAAACTTGTACAAATCCTTAAAACACCTAAAACAACACCGGAAACCCGATTTAGTCAATGATTCAAGCCTAAGAACTTCAAATTTCTTCCAAATACGCTTTCGATCAAAAACCTAACCAAAACACGTCCGAATGACCTGAAACTTTCCACACACATCCCAAATGACATGACGGAGCTACTGCAACTTTCGAAATTCCATTCCGGCCCTCGGATCAAAAATTCACTATAGGACCGGAAACTTCAAAAATTCAAACTTCGGCATTTGAAGCCTAAATGAGCTACGGACTTCCAAAATACATTCCGAACACGCTCCCAACCCCGAAATCACCTAACGGAGCTAACAGGACCATCGGATTTCCATTCCGAGGTCGTCTTCACACTGTTCCGACTACGGACCATTTTTCCACACTTATGCTCTCGTTTAGGGACTAAGTGTCCCAAAACACTCCGAAACTCAACACCGAACGTCCCGGCAAACCAAAATAGCAGAAATGAACTTAGGGGAAGCAGTTAATGGGGGATCGGGGCATTAATTCTTAAGACGACCGGCCGGGTCATCACATCCTCCTACACTTAAACATTCTTTCGTCCTCGAACGAGCATAGAGAACATACCTGAAGTAGTAAAAAGGTGAGGGTATTGGCTGCGCATATCCCGCTCGGTCTCCCAAGTCGCCTCCTCGGCCGGCTGACCCCGCCACTGAACCTTCACTGAAGCAATGTTCTTTGACCTCAACTTTCTGATCTGTCTGTCCAATATAGCCACTAGCTCCTCAACGTAGGACAGATCTTTGTCCAACAGGACAGAACAAAAATCCAACGCGTGAGACGGATCACCGTGATACCTCCGGAACATCTAAACATGAAATACCGGATGAACTCCGGCCAAACTAGGAGGCAAGGAAAGCTCATAGGCAACCTCCCCAACTCGCCGCAAGATCTCAAAAGGGCCAATAAACCTCGGA